ATATAATATTTATTTATACATATATATATTTTTTAAATTATATTTCCTAGAAAGTAAAATTCATTATGACGAATACATTATAAAACTGACCGATTTTAATCAGAGTTGAAACTTTTAGTTTTCAAAAAAGTCACGTTGAAGTCATTGTTATCAATGAAGTTAGCACATGTTGATGTAAAATACTCGTAAAAATGTTAATTTTAAAAGTAACTTTAAGCATAAAACAACCATATCCGTTTTAATATATTTTCATAATTTTCAACAAACACACACACATATAGATGTACCGGTATTTAATGGGTTTTTTTTTTAGTATTATTATGGTATTTTTGTCATCGATGCTCGAAAATTATAAATAGAGAATTTAATATAATATAATATTGCTATAGAATATACCATAAAAACGGTTATTATTCCACCTCTTCATTTTTGAGCATACAATTATTTGACATTTATAAAATTCAACAATGCCTTTGAAAACCTTTGATACTTAGAAGTGCCATAAACGGTCTCATTATCATTATAATTTTAAATATTAAATTAGGTATATTAGTTCTTTCTGTTTCTTGTATTAGTAAGCGCGGACTTTTATGAGTAAATATCTTAAAGTCGTTGATTGTTAATAAATTCCAGTCATCATTGTGTTTGTAGAATTTGTAAGTCTTAGATTTTGTACTGCAGCACATCTCCACTTGAGGTATAATATGTTTATAATAGCTATTATTCTAGTTGTATACTTGTGGTATATGAACTAGTTTAAACAGTAGCTGTAAACGAGAACAGACATTATCATTTTTTACCGATACAAAGTCAGCGGTCTTCAAGAATATTTGGATTTTGAAGTAATAAAATTGTTTTAGTTTATACTGTGTATCCTTTGTAGATTGCACGTAATAATATAATATCTTAATTGTGATAAGTCATATAATGTGCAGTTTTATTAATAAAAAATAATACCCAACAATAGGCCATATACGCAGCTGTGATGTATACAAATATTATTACATTGTGGAAAAGTCATAACAGAATATATGTGTAGAATGCTATTTCGAACAAAGCCATGTGGGGGGGTTGCGGAGTTTACCTCCTCCCCTTAATACGTATTTAATATTATTTTCAGCATTCATACATCTATGTTAGCTACGTTGTACAGGTTAAAATATTAACATACAATATAACAAAATATTAAACTATGATTTTTATTTTTTAAACTTTGGTTTACTAATTTAAGAGTATAATCAATTGGTGTCCTCGCCCACAGAGTCTTATATGTTAAACCTAATTCAATTATCGCTTAAACTAACGTTAAGGCAAAACTGTATGAATCGTTTAACCCAGCTTGTTCAAAAAAAAAATATTAATTTTAAATGAATACAGTAATGAAATACACTAGGTTTATCGTAATAAAATAATTAGGCATGTACATTAATATGGTTAGGCATATTTGTATTATTATTATTTGACATAAGTAATCTATACAACAAATGAGTAATCATTAGCTTATTTACTAAGAATAAGCAGACATGAAAAGGGTTCATTAGGATTCACCCATTAGCGGTCTTTATAACTTAATTAATTATAATATAATATTTTTTCTTTTGTTGTACATTTTCTTTTTTTTAATTTCGAATTTATTTTGTTATGCAGTAAATTTCATATTTTACTAAATATGACTATATATTTTGTAATAGTTCACAATTCCACTTTATTGTTGACGTGCATCGAGGATTTCTTGTTAGTATATTATATTATGATGGAAATTATTTCTTCATAAAGAAATTGGAATGAGTTTAAAGTAGCTTATATTATTAATAAACGGGTATAAAAGTGCTTCTTCATCAGTATAGTTTTTCATATTGAAATCATTTTTCCGTGTTGGATTGAACATAATATATGATGGAGCATCGAAGAGTCATCGAAATGATATATTTTAAAGCGCTAAGATATTATTCGTATTAGATTTTTTTAACTTGTCCCAAAGCTCTAGTAAGTACAAATAGGCTTAATGAGAGTTATAAAAATTGGCTAAAATTTCGTCTTTAGACTGGTAATTTTATTTTTAGACAAAAGCAGACTAAGCATTTTCACATACGTGCATTATAAGAGTCATTATTTTGGTTCATCTGTTGCTATTCCACTTAAACAGTTTATCTAAGTGGAGTATCCAAATACTTGGCTGTTCCCATTCGACGATGTATTATGAGATCATAATTGTATTATTTCATATTTTCATGTGCAAAACATGGCAAGTGTCACTCCTGGAAGTAGTGATAGCGCGACGACCATTCAGTAAATGTTATTTGTTGTTTTATAATGCCCAATTATTTACGTTTACGTACTTTTTTAAAAAGTAAGTGCTCATTATTTTATGGATTCACAAATAATCGAATTAAATAAGGTTGACTATAGTTAGCGATTTTTACGCTGCACATTTGTCACATTCGGACACGATAGGAAAATGGGATCAACAATTAAGCGGAACGTAATATAAAAATAAACCCGTGAAATGTACAATGTGCAAGCCACGACATTTAATATAATACAATTAGGCAGTATAAGTTGCCAATAATACCCACGAACATATATGGTATTAGAAAAAATGTATTATATTTCACCATCAACAAAAATCGTAAATATACATTTTTATATCATCTCTTTGTTAATATTCATCCTTTAATCTTTAATCTTTACACCTATATATCATTTATTTTTATTTTTCATTGTTTATGATCGTAATTCAACTATTACTAGTGATTCTGAAATAATATTGATCATGCTGTAATTTGTGTGGAACGCTTATTGATCATTTTATCATTTATTTTTAGCTCCTCGTGATAAGTTGTAATCAAATAATGAATATATTTTTATCCATCCACCGAATAATTCAAATTATTGAAGACTATTTATTTATTTATTTTTTTTGTGACCGATAATCAGTGAAGACCATTATTGTGTTTTTTCGTTTTTCTATAAGGTTGACTCAGTAAAATAGAAAAAAATACAGTTTCCTATCCTGTATAATATATAATATATATACACGTAATACTATGATAAGTAAGTACATCGGGTTGGGACTTTAAAAATACAAATCAAAATTTTAACTTTTGACCTCTCAATATTGTAATTCGTAATATTATTATAAAACTTTATAAAAATACGATTGTATAAAATGTAGTCGCCGCATAGTTGAATCGTATGCAGTATGCCTCAAGAGGGTTGATATTATAATATTATATACAAATGTATTACATAGTATTTACATAGGTAATCTTTGAGTTTACAACGACATGGATTTACATTCGTGGTTATTTTTAATATTATTTGTATTATTATAAAGCTTTTCAATAATATGTAACGAGGTAACGATGAAACAATTGTTATTGATTTGCCTGGTTACCGTCATTAGTGATCTTCATCGTTTGCTGAAAGCATATTATCGCCAACGGTTTCCAAAAACATTTTCGGCCTTGTCACACGCTGGACAATATTATACTATTATTTTGTAGTTATAATAATAGTATTATTAACATAAGAAGTATATAAACGATTCAAATGTACTATTTATTGTAAGTTCACATTCTGGTCGAACACGAAATTAGTTATACTACGGCGCTTCAAGTTTCACACGCGGAACTTGAAATCGTAAAATAATAGTACCATAATAATATTATAATACCCTTCGTATTATATACCTGCTTGTACCGTGAGTAAATTATTATTTATTTATTTGTGTGATTATTATTGTTCCTGTTGTGGTTGCTGTATCGTTTTCTTATGATTATTATTAATTGATTGAACAATGTGCTAGATGTACTAAAAAACTAAAAACTAAAAGCAATTGCAGGTTGGTTAAAAAACATATCCATTTTTGTATCACTCATATGATTCCATAAAAATGATGATCAACTTAATAAATATTATCATCAAATGGGAAATGTATTATTTGAAACTCAGATATTGATATTATATACTTTTTTTAGATATTCTATTGTTTCGTGCCTCTTTGTTGGGAATAATTGTGTTTAATAAACCTCAATTGTTCAATACCTTTCATACATAATATATTATACTACATAAAGAATTCATAGATTAAAAAAAATATCTTTATTTTTTTTCGTTGATGTGTGAAGATAAGATATAGGATTCAGTAATTCACTATGCAAAATACTTTTAAAAATCGGTACTTAGTAATTATATCGTACGAAGCTGCTGACCAAAAATGCAAAATTCGTTTTTAAAGTTATTATTTTAGCAACTTACAATAATATTTAAAAAAATCTAAAAGTTTAATGATCTTATTATATGTGATTCAGATACATATGATTATTGTAATATTACAATTATAAACGTTATACGGTCAAGTGTAAAAAATTATCAATTTACTAATGACGTTAAGTTAATTTATATGAATTTTATATTCAACTTTTCTCTTCTATGAAAAACAATTTGCCTTTAAATGTTGTAATAATAAAACATGAAAATCTTTTTAACTGCTAGCATTTATTGGCACACATAACATTCTAGCAAAATATGTGATGCCTAGTATATTTATTACCAACTAAATGTGGAGATTGACTATTGGGTGGATGTGCCCATGTATAACGTGTGTATCAAAAATATCCACGGTACTTTAGTATAAACACCTATTTTCTAAGTGAAGCGAGAAATGTATTGGATCAACAAACATCTGTTGTTTAGTTTTGTCAGTGACTATAATTTGTCTTTAGTGGAATAAGCGCTCCAAATGGTCTACATGATAATCTATGTATGCATTCGGTTCTTTACGTCCATGTGGCCATTTAATTTATCATACAAATGTATCATTTTGTATAAACTTTATGAAAATAAACATACTGTGATTTGGTAATATTGTTGTAACATTCGATTAGCAATAATCCTAGACACTTTCAATTTCATCGACGATTATTGGTCTCGGAATTAGGGGAAACTAGCTTTGAGAACCTTACAATTTCCAACGACCATGACAAATAAAATTACAGATGGCGTCGACCGGAATAAACGAAGAGAACGTTCTGCAGCAGGACACGGTCGTCCGGTCCCTTAAAGCGACGTACGCGGTGCACAAAATCATCGGCACCGGTCGTTTCTCTCGCGTCTACAATGCATCGGAGGTGGGCACAGGCAATTCGGTAGTGATCAAGGCTCTGAACGATGAGGGCTCCAGCACAAGATTGGACCGAAAACTGTACCTCAAGGAACTGGACTTTTTGAACAAGCTCAAGTCCAGTCAGTTGCGGTCCCGGTACGTCCAGTTGAGGGACACTATCCCGCTCAAATCAGGAATGATATGTTTCGTCATGGAGAGACTGAGCACCACCCTGCAAGCAGTGCTGCACAACATTGGTCCGCTGCCAATGTGCATGTGTCGGCCGATCGTCAGACAGATCGCACAAGGTACGTGTACAACAATGTATGAGATAAAACTGTATGCGAATGGATTACCATAGCTATTTGTCTATAGTGTAGAGGATCCCAACCGGGGGGATTTAGCGTCTGCTCGGGGGGAGGGGGGGGGGGATGTAGTGATGATAAAATTACGAAAGTAATTATGTTATTTTACAATGTGTGAAATTCAAATCACTATATTAGTTATCAGATTATCAGACATCGATAACAATTATACATTAGGTATAACGATAGAGTCGATAGACCGAGATAATATTATTTATGCCTTATGCTAATATTTTTGTTTTTATATTCAATATTTTTTTCTTATACTTAATATTATTACTTCGTGGGTTGATTTATAATACATTTTAAAATTGATGAAAATATTAAAAGTAAATTGTTGTATATTGTATAATACGTAGTTATTTTGAATGTTTATTTCTACCGCTCACAAACCAAAAAATTCGCCTAAACTCTAATTTAGAGGGTATGGGGAGGGGGAATGAGATTTAAGTAAATTTACAAAGAGGGCGTTGAAAGTTGAAAGAAAAAGGTTGGCAGCCGTTGGTCTAGTGAAACAAATAAAGTTTTTGTTATAAAAATATCATAGGATCAAGGTTCCATAAAAATAACGATGCTATGACTAATTGCGACTTTTTGTTCCAAGTAAATATTAATATCATTGGGGAGGTAAGCTATATAATATTTTGTAGAGCAGATACTAAGTATAACTATTCCGATGAAAGATAAATGGAATATTCATATTGCTTATCACATTATGTGTGTCTTAATATACCCCCCACTGACCGATGATCATAGAATATTTGTAATTTTTTTACCAAACTTTTTATGGTTCAAGGTGAGAATGTAAGTTAATGATTTAGTGATGATAAATAATAAATATAGGTAACCTGCCATGAAGACCCATGGTCAAATTATTTAAAAAATATGTAAATCATGTACCAACATTTATTAATGGTTGTGAGTTTATTTTAATTGACATACCAGCTGTTTTTAAAAACATTTTAACCACTGATGAGACATGAGAGGGATTGGATGGAACGTCATTCTACGTTTTTTAACTTAATTTTTCAAATTAACAGAAAAAACTAATTTATTAAACTAGTCACTCAAGCTAAATTATTTAGTAAGTTAGGTAGGTAGGTAATTAGAAAATTAACTAATTAATTAATTAAAACATTTTTAATTAAAATAACTTTAACAAGTTGATTTAATGATGCCTAAAATATTATATTATTATGCTCTGTAATAATACACAGTGTATAATAAACATTGTACAAGATAATATAATATTAATTGGAAATATTATCATTATGTCGCTTAATATTTATCTTGTATTTGATCAATATTCCTCTATAGTTTAATTTTTTTAGAATATTTTGATTTCGATATTGTTCATTACATAATTTAGTGTTTACTTATCGTTATTACTTTAATAGTTCTTGGAAATAGACAAAAAAACTGTATTTGTACAATTAATTATTGATGATGTTATTTTAAACTTTTTTCTACCTGGGAATACTTTGATTGTGAACATTTTTTAATCTATTATCAACCAGCTTGACATTGTTTTCAAATGTTAAGTTCAATAACTTAATTGATAGCAATATAACAATAGACAATAGGCAGTTTTTGTGTGTATAGTAATGCAACTTGAAGTATAAACCCGGTTAGTCCTAGCACATCGATTTTTTATCCATTCGGGGACAGCTTAACACATAATCGGCTTACAATAAAATATATCCGCTGTATATCTAAATCAAATATTTGGTCATGTGGCATACCTAGCCTGTAGAACATTATATTATATTATTAAACGTACTCCTTGTGAGACGTCAGACTTTACACTGTTACAATGCACCATCAGATACTTTCGCGTTCCCACATAGTACCTACGTCATTATGTACTTTAGTCGGGGATAACATCGTGACAAAAACTAACCCGGATAATGTTCAGATTGACCCATTCTTACATACACTTTCTGTCGGACGGGTATAAATGCCTGAAATTGGGTAAGATCAATCTCACCCGGGTAATGCCGACATTACACAAAATCGAGGATTGCGCGTACGATAATACGTTATGTGCACGATTTATTGTGTACCAGATAGTGACTGTTGACTCTTATCGGCAGAATAAATGACAAATAAGCTCATTATGTTTTGATGTATTTTGAACGAAGTGATCTTCCAAAAAAATCAATTTTTCCTAAAAATTACTCATTTCAATCAGACGCCAATCAGGTGCTCTCTCAAAAGTATACTAGGTATTAAGACTTCAATCATACCATTAATTTCATTGTTATTTAATAAGTTAACAATAATATTATCCTGAAGTCTTGAAATATTTACCGATTAACATAATTATTACCTATACCTAATATTGTATTATGCAATTTTCAAAGTAATTTGGTCATTTTATTTGCATGGGGTTTGTGGCATGAATTCCCAAACATGTAAAAAATTATAATTCAAATAATTCAATTTTTATAATTCAAAAATGTTGCTTTCAATTTAAAATCAAATTATTATTTTTTTGTATTCGATATCCACAAAAAACTTAAACTTGGGTTCAATAAGAACATTGTAAAATTTTCATACTACCTGTAGCTAAAAAAAAGTCTCAAAAAGGATATATCATTTTTGTACTTTCATGGGTTATTTTAGGTTTGGGTTCATAAAATATTTGATTTAAGCATAAATTTACAAAAAACGAGGGTAAAATATGTCAACATAGGCGTTAGATATTTTTTTTATCTTTACTACTTATTACAACATCTCGATCAGATGTTTATTTCGATTTGATTTATAACGTTATATTCGTTCCGTCGGCTGTCCGTGTTCATGACATATGCTTTTTAAGGATTGGCCGGTTTGAAGTGTTTGGGGATCGTGCACGCCGACCTCAAGCCCGACAACATAATGTTCAACTCCGGGACGGGGAACAATATTCTGGTGAAGATCATCGATTTTGGTTGGGCATTTGACATGAAGAACGTACACACAATGTACCAAAAGGAGATACAGGCGATCCCGTACCGCGCACCTGAGGTGTGCTTCCAAGGCAGACTGGACCATGGTCTGGACATGTGGGCCCTGGGATGTATCATGCCGGAAATTGTTACTGGCGTCAAGTTGTTTGACGTGGAAGAGGAGGAGCTGTTGGTCAAAATGATTATACGTACACGGCCCATGCCCAATTACTTGGTAACGGATTTACCAGCGGATATTCTCGAAACGGAACTCACCGTCGGTTGGATTCAATTTCAGGTGATTATAATTAACATGACATAGTAACACAATATTGTTATCACTGTTGTTATCTATCATTACCTATTCATTTTGCTCTTCGACTATTATAAAATACCCGCCACATCGTAAGTAGTCGTCTGCTTCCATCCGCCACTGACTTGAACTTAACAAGTATACAACTGTTACATTTTAATAAGTAGCTATTTATGATATTTAAAAGTTAGTATTTTAAATAATTTAGTAAACCTAGGAGATATACCTACTACAAAATATTATGATAGATAGTACAATTTTAAATTTTAATACAGTACCTATTCTTACTAATTTCCACTACAATAAACGTCTGTGAAAACTCACTTAGATATACACATATTATGAAGATAATTTTATACAGTTTTGAATTATCTATTTAATGTAATATTTTGTCTGAAGTACTCCTGTGCACAATAAACATACTGCAATAAGTAGTAGTCTTTGTCGTACCATAGGTATGCGTCTTAACAATATCCATTATAAACGATTTAAAAAAAATAAATCTATATAAAATTATACATATTATTACATCGTACATTTCGTTTGTTGGACATTTCATTACAATACACTAGTTAGTAATTGCAGTCAGTCACACTGACACTACTACTGTACATGTACCTACGTCCTACTGTTTTTTTTTTTTTTTTAATCCCATAGGCTCATTTAAACTAATTTGCCTTTTTACCAGGACGATCGGAACACGTCGTGTACGATTATTTAATTCCGACTATTGAGTGTCATTGTTAATATTATAAAATGCCTACTGCTCGCAGAATAAACTGTAATAATATTACGTGCGTGTGTTGATCACATAATCGTTGTGTCGTTTCACCGTGTTCGTTGCATACATTTCACTAATCATAATATTGCGCACGATTAATTACCACTAATTATTACATTCATGTAGGCAGGTGGTTTACGCTACCTAAATTAAAAGTATATGATAGGTACTATAACTATGGCTAGTAGAGCATAAGTAATAACACGCCTTATACATTTTTTTATTTATAAAAATCAAATTACATTTTTGAAACGTGCTCCTTGTACGGTTTCCAATACTCGTCCAGTCGAATATAATTGTTTTTACACATTTCATACGTTTTCTCCAAAGCATACCTGTTGTAGTATTGTGTGGTATATTATTATTAATACTGATTTTTGCTTTTGGATTTGATTGGATTTTTTTCTGGCAAAAAGAAACGTCCGATATATACAGAAAACAGTCTTATGGTATGCCTTATTATTAAAAACGGGATACGGCTTATTGTAATACGGAGGAATTGTTTGATAATAATATGCATATACGTATATATTATTTTATTGTTTGCGGTCCGTTATTGTAAAGTTTTCACAAGACTGAAACGGTTTCCGACTGCATGCATTGTTATTGGCTAGAATCTGAATCCGTTTTGTGAGTAGAAAATATGAGTTTAAAAAATAAATAAAACAAACTGCTGTACGTTAAAAGCCATTTCGAATTTGGGCTATTGCGGAAGAATTACTTAGGACAGCATATTTTATTTGAGACATTATTTTTATTGAGAATGATGGTGTACGGTTTTTTCTAAACATCATCTCATACAATAATATTTATTGTTTGTGATGCATCCAGTCAGGAAAATGTGTGCAACTTGAGGGTCCCACACAAACTCAACCACAATTATTAGATGTTTGATTTTTGTCGGTAAATGGTTAATGGTTTGAATAAATATATGATATGGTGCAAAACCGACTACGAAGAATTAATTATCGATAGTCCATAATTGTACAATATGATTCAATAAAATATTAGAAGGTAACGAGTTTGTTATTGTGTTTAAAAAAAAAAAAACACGTCAAAAGAATATAGAGCTGCTCATTTTATCAATGTGAATTCAAAACTAAACAGTTTTTTTTTGTTTTTAAGACCAATAATTAACTTTAAAAAAAAAAAAATTAGTGATATCGTTACCTAAATGTTTATATTATATATTGTGGGTACTTCATATTAATATAATAAATTATTGAACAAGTTATTTACGTATTTCGTATTGTAGTAGGTAATACAATGCATATTTAGCATTAAATAAGTATAAGATGGTTATATATTTTAAATTTCCGTTAATGATCGTGATTAGACATGAATGAATATTTATCTCACTATTCGATACAAATTAATCTTCACAAAAATCTGAATACGAGGCGATTTTTGAAAATATGATATTAAAACGCACGGATACATATTTATTTTTAATACTTTTTTTGTTTATAAATCTTCATGCAAGTTAATTTTTAATATATTATGGTTGTTATTTGAGTAACATGCAGGCTGTTGATAATTATTTCACGGAAGCACTACAATCTGAATAAAGCCAAACTGTTCAATAATTCATTGTCGGTCGAGGTATTCCTATTTATCACTTTTAATATTACTACACGTAAACTATTTTTCTTTATTTTTCATATAATATCGGTCCACGATTTTCTTTGTAGCGTTTATCAGGAGTGGGTTGCTGATGATTTACATATAAATCTAATTTTATATGCTTAAAAAAAAAACAAAAATGTACAATATTATAACAGACATGTAAAACATCCATTACCGCTGCTGTACGATGTACGATACACGATATAAGGAAGTTGACTTTCGGTCAACAACTCATATTAGTAATACATACTATAAGACCTTAATAATTGTCTACATCTTAATTATGTCCAGATTTTTTAAATTTGAATAGTATCATAACGGTATATCTGTTGTATATGTTGTACACACTGCACTATTATTATTATTATTATTATTATTATTTTTATTTGATAAAACTAAGGTTATGTTTTTCGTTATGTGATTGTGTGAGTGTATACCACATCACTACATTAGTTCTTCATTTTAAGTTTTATTATGTTATATAAATTAGTTATTGTACAAATAATGAATTGTGTCTTATTGTAAAATGGATGTACAAATAAATAAATAAAACATGGCGCAGTCGTTTATATTTTGATATAATGTTATAAAGTAACCTATTCGCCGGATTGAAACGGATAAAAAGGCGTCATGGAATTTAACCGACCTGCAAATTTAAAACTGACTGGTAATTTAAATGACAACTTTAAAATATTTAAACAAGAAGTTGAAGTTTATTTTATGGCTACTGAGACAAACAGTAAGAGTCAGGAGGTTCAAGTGGCAAGATTACTCAATTTATTAGGACCAGATGGCTTAAAGTTGTACAACACATTTAAAATTGATGTTGTGA